TTACCCGCTTATTTTTCTTTGAGACTTTTTTTCCGGATACTTTTTTTCCTGGATTTTTTTTCCGCGAGACTTTTTTTCCTACCATCATTAGATGCAAGTAGCTGTGATGGAACTAAATATTTAATAAACACTTATGTAGGAGATAAGAAGAAATGAAATTAATTTTCAGTACYTAGTGTTGCTGACAAAACAAGTATGTTAATAGTTATAGTAATATTTTTTAAGAATTAATAAACATTTTAAATTTTATTATTCAGACAATCATTAAAYAACAATATTTATTTATATTTATTTTTATTAACAAAATAACATTTACAATCTGTACATAATAAAATACAATAAGCAAATATGTTTAGCAATATTTAAATCAAATATTATGGATATTGATTAAATTTTGTGTAATTAAACCATACAAGACTATAAAGATAACATTTATAACTAATACTTAATCTTTTCTCTCTTTGGGACATTGGGACCCAAAACATACTATAACAAAGTCAAGGTAGTTTTATATATTTTTAATCATTCAAAATGTACAAACTTGGTAAAGAGAATATTCAACAGATATAACACATGGGTAACTGAATACTTGGATTAGTGATATAAATTTTTAATTAAAAAGTTAAAATTTATATCTAATGAAATATTACGTAATACAGTAAAATARAAATGTTGGTATTTTTTTATCTTTTGCTGTTTTCCCTTGATCTTTTTCTTATGGTTTTTGAACCKGCAGGTGTCCTGGTCCAATTAAAAATTACATGCCCAGATCTTATCCAATCAATATTTATCTTATATTCTTATAATATTTGTGGAATCCATTATTTGTATCACCACGAGAAGGCGACTCTCATTAGTCATTATCCTCCAAATATAATATAATGTATTGCATTATTGCTTATACTTTATAGAATCGGACCGATAATTTTTATTGATAAGATAAAATAAACATGATTTAATTTAAACTTAAAATAATATGTATAAAGTGTATAATATATTTTATTAYGTACATTTTATATTTATAGTTTAATCTTAATTATATCCTAAAAAATAAATATGTTTATAAAAGCCCCTTTAAATATGTATATACATAGGCAATAGAATATACAGTATTGCGGTATTTACAATCTACCTTATCAAAAGTGATAAGAGATTAATGAACGAGTCCTAGAACGGCTAGAATGTGCCATCTAGTATCATTACTCTTTCGTCTTCTCAAACATCTAGAATGTTCGCTGCACGTCTGTGGCTTATTTTAGTCGTCGTTTGAATCGAATCCCAATATCACTGCCTCCACCTTTTGATATGTTTCAGACGCGGTGACGCTAAAAACCAGCTCTTATCCTCGTGGTCGATTGTTTAGGARTCTCGCATAACTTGGATTCGCGATCAACCAACTAGCGTGACTCAGATATCTCACTCAAGTCCGTTATATTTACATATTTAACTTTTAAGATATTCGATTGATCCCGTCCAACCGTGATTTGTTGCCATGGTGGACTCGGTGCCTGCTATGTTTGGATTGTTGGTCAGCGGCAGACTGGTGAGTAGTAGGTGATTGCATAACCCATTGAGTTATATACAATATAAATTGCAGTAAAAAAGTACTAGGATATAAAGTCCTCTGCAGATAAGTCTTAGTTCTAAAAGTCCGGTATATATATTAATATATTAAATAATATAAAAAAACATTGTGATAGTTATAATGTTACTAATAGTATTTGATCATTATATGTGCTAAAAGTTTGAAGCAGTATTTAAAGTCCAAAAAAACTTGTAATATTGTCATGTTGATATCCGCCTTCAAGATTATTTATTAATTTTATAAGGTAAATCATTTAGTTAATACTAATTGGAAGTTTGATAATGTATCACATCTTATTCTTCATTTAATCTAATTATATGTACCATGGACTTTTTTGCCTATGAATCTTTTACCTTTGACTTTTTGGTAGTATACCCCTGGCTGCAACCATTATTTCAGATTTTTAACAAAGAACTTCAATTCATATTGAAAACAATTTTTTTATATACTTTCTATTTTCATTATTATACTCAGTATTAATGTTTATTATCAGGTACGGACAGATTTTGAACGTTTAGAAGAAACAAAATTTATGATAACTATTAACTCTGCCGAATCCGTGAATTACATTTGCGTGTTTTTAACTGGACTTGTGCCATTTCCTGAGGGAACAGCTGGTTCAGGTAAGAATGTATCATAAATTAAACAGCATACATAGTATTAATTTAAAACTTATAGTTTTATTATAGTTAAATATAGCAATAGGTACTGTTCAATGTATAACATTGAAAAAATTAAGTAATTTGATTAAACATCTTACACTTTATAGCTAAGGTTCCTGTGAACCAATTTAGGAAATGTTAGGAATTATAAGAATTTACTTAAATACATATTTTAATGAATTTAAATTACATTTTAATAGAACTTATATGAATTACATTCTATAACTCATTAAAACAAAATATTTCCTTTTRATCTATATCCTTGTTTTATGTGTAAATTAGTTACTTATAATATTAATAACTATGTTTCATATCAAGTTTTAAAGTTAATTTAGATATCATATTACAAGACAATATTAATGACCTAATTAGTTATGAGTCGTGCAGTACTATTTGATAGTTGTCCCAAATTCATCTGGACTTTAGAGTAAATATAACAGTAAAGTATCATTAATTTTTTTTTAAACTACSTAAGTCATCTTTATTTATATGACCAAAGGTCTTCAAGTAATAATAATTACTTAAATATATATCATACGTTTAAATATTTATAGCAATAGTTTTTGTTAAAAATGTTATATTTTTCTAATAAAGGTGTGAATATGATATATAATCTAATATTGTTATTGTTATATCTACAAACATTAATTATTAATAACTGGGTTATTATAAAACTACAATCATATGTGATTATTTTATTTTATTTTTATTTTAGTGTATTTCAGTTGGCCTGATGAAAATGCAAGACCAAATTGGCAACTTTTAGGAATTCTATCCAATAACAAGCCATCTGCCATATTTAAGCTTTCAAATCTTAAACAGCATTTTGATATGACAAACCAACCAATAAACGCATTCAGTCAATTCCCATCAATTTCTATAAATGCTCAAATTGGTATTTCTATCGAACCTTTGATAAATACAGAATTGCAAACAACTTGCACAGAATCAACTCAAAATGTATCAACATTTGTCGAGTTCACACAAAAAATGGTACAAAATTTATACAATTACGTATCTAGTTATGCAATTGATTGCGGTCCACAACAAACATCTATGGTACCACTTTTGTTAATTCAGAAATGGTATGAAAATTTTGAAAGAAAGTTAAATTTAAATCCAAATTTTTGGAAATCCTAGTACCTAGTTTTTAATATAAAGCTAATTTTACTTGATACTTGGTACTATTGGACTTTTTGATACTAAAACGATAAATTGACATTGAATAGCATATTATATAACTATTTTACAAGAAATACACAGACTGTCTAAATTATTGTTAATGATAGTCTTAAAGTTTAAGCTATGTGCCTTATATTAATGATAAGACTTTGTTAAATAATATAAAAAATGTATAATGTTTATGCTTTTAAATACTTAGATATTTTTAATGAATGATTTGTATAGTTTTTTTGCTTCCCCTCAAAATTTTATAATTTTAATACTTTTAAAAACCAAAATACCTATAAAAATAAATGTTGTCCATTCCTAAAAATATTAATAAAATTTAAATTCTCATTTTTGTAACTTCATTTTTTATWAAATATAATAATATTTATTTGTCATCAAATGTTTATTACAATTTTAGTTGAAATAGTTTAATTTTAAAGGTAAGCTGTGGCCTACTATAAAATGTATATTCATGCAAAGATTAAAATTAAATGGAAAGAAAAGGGTAAACAAAGCATTGCATTTGTGTATTTTTTTAGTAATTAATAAACAATATTGTAATATTTTATAAAACATAGCCCATAGGTATACATATTTTTATTTTTTGTACATGGCTATAAAGAATTTGGTTGTATATTTTATTATACAGTTAGCAAAACACTGTTTACATATTTGGAAATTATGTTCTATATCAAATTATTATTATTTASTAAAAATTATTTTTGGCACTTCGCATATATGATGGAGTTTTGTTAGAGTTATTAAATAGTGTTTTTATTATTATTATTTTAACTTTATCGTCTATGGAATCTAAGTTTTATTTAGATTCTGATTAGTTTTATAAAACATTAATAGATTGTATTTAAATATTATACACAACATGATACAAAGCTTCAGAATTAAGTCACTTAAGACATCATTGTTTCAAAAAATAATGAGAATGTGTATTGTCACCACCTAGATTGATTTTATTGGTACAAATTGTGTGCAGAAATTTTAYAATAGATTTTTCCAAAATGTTACCTATTTTGATTTTATAATTTGGTAATATTTTAGCTCTAATATTATAAAGTTATTGTACTTAACTCAGTATATAATAGCCGATTTTTATCTACAAGTTTTAACGAATTATTTGTATAATTTAGTAAAAACTAATAATGCAATGTATTATCGCATTTTTTAAACTTAAATAGCTACATTTTTTCATCAACTTGATATCAAAACTACAATAAAAATGRCATAGTCAAGTATAATTTTTCTTATTTTGTGTTTAAAATTTGTTTTCTTACCTGTAGGTTATAGCCATCTTGTTTTTTCCCTTCATGAAATAGTTTTTCTGTATTGTAATTTTGTGATTATTGACAGTGCGACAAATATCTTAGATAGGTACTACCTATTTAACATAGCTGTAGCACTGAACTCATATATCATGTAGAGCAATCGCTTCACTTCTTAAATAGGTGGGTGGGTGGGTATAGGTGAGTTTTATGGRGTAGTAGTTAATGAGTTTACAAAATTAAATCAGGTGTTCTACACATAATTGACTAATTGAGTGTATTTTTATATCAAATGAGATGGCTGAAGAACTATAACTAATAACTCCCGGTGGCCAAGTATCTATGTTAATTTTTCGKAGAACAAAACGTCTTTATACCAATTACCAAATTATCGACTGTCGTTAATAAAAAGAAAAATGTCCGTCACTGGTGAATATGCCGTTAGAGCAGGGGTGGCCAACAATAAGAGTAGCGATCTGCACAATATAATCAAAAATGATACATAGAGCAGGAATTACAGTTTTTTTTTTTAAATTTATTTAAATATACTCAATCTGAGCACCAGTGATAAGTCTTAGGGCAATTGATTGGAAGGTTTGAATAGGGAAAATGTTTGCGGGTTTAGCTGGTCCGTAAATTTGGATACCGTAGTATGACCATACTGGCCTGATGATAATTTTGTATAATACCTAGTAATCTGTTTTTAAGATCCAAGTTAATTTAAATAGATGAAGACGAGAGTTTAGTCGTTTGCGTTTGTTTGGCATGGTTTGACCAGGTTAATCTTTTATCCTGACTGATAAGTACCTAAATATTTRATTGACTGTTGAAGTGGGGGTATTTTTAGTGGGGGCATTCCATTTTGTTTAGGGAAAAGTTCACATGAGTGGATTTTTCATAAATGATTTTGATTTTCCAGTTTTAACCCAGGATTCTATTTTGTTTAGATGTGACTGTAAATGTTGAGACGCGATATCTGAATTTATATTTGATGTACCTAATTATTTTAAAGGTAAATATATAATTAAGTGTAAGGGAGAGGTCACTGCCCTGGAGACTTAGGCTTTAATATTCTGTACAGTTGAATAATTATTTTACTAAAAATTACCGATTTTCTTGGTATGAATTTATTATTAAATAATATGGCGAGGGGAGGAGTGTTGTTTAAGCTTTAATAGGAGCCCGTCGTGCCAAAACGCGGACGAGCGCCTGCGGTAGATATTTAAAAATACGCCGGGAAAATATTGCTTGATCTCGAAGGTGGCTGAGATTTTATCTGTAATTTTATAAATTTTATGGATTGCGTTGTGTTTGCAACGACACCCAAATTGTAGTTTGACCATGTTGGTCAATTAATGGTGTAATTTAATGTAAAATTGTTTTTTCGAAGAGTTTTGTAAATGTTAGTAGTAGTTAAACTGAGGACGTTAAGAGCTGCTGGTGAAACCTGTTATTATATTGGTAAAAATGTTAAAGATGCGCACCACATGAGCCTTACACGATCCGTRGTTAGGCCACCCCTGGATTATATATTTAGTTACGAATGTTACGATGGACTTTCAAACGTGCAAGCTGCACTGCCWGCCAGTGAGTGCCAGGCACCAGTTATATAGTATAATATACAAGGTGTAACAGAAAGAACTAATTTAGGCAAAATTTTTCAAAATATCCATCATAGTCCATAATATACAGGTTATAAGTCGTGTCAGAGTAAACACCTAAGAATATATTACACCTATACAATGTATAGGTGAAGAAATTGAAGAACCTCCTTCAGTTTAGTATGATTTTTAAATCACTACCTACTACCGTTTTTATGAAAAATAAAAATGTAAACTCAAAATCTATTATATTTTTTTTTTTTTTTAGTGCAAACGAAAAATTTAAAGACGAAGCTCAAAGTTTATTATAACTATTTAATATTACCTAGGTACTTAACAAATAATAAATTGTGAAAAGCTGATTGATCGATACGGCTAACTATAAGTTATTCAAATATAGATACTGCACAATACTTTAAACACTACCCGGTCAATGAAATTGAGGGGCTAGGTAAATTGAGTCCAAGATAAGTTTGGCACATTTTGAAAGCGGTAAATTGAGTCCCGGGAAAAACAGGTATAGTAGGTAAGTTGAGTCCCGGAAAAAAATTAATAGTAAGTAAATATTTTGACTTATGCTAAGCTATTTAGGTATATAAGGATATAATATTTAGATTTATATTGATTAAAAATATTAAAAATATAAATAAACTAAAAAAATGAAAAAAAATGTCATTATTAATAAAAAAATTATTATCATTAAAAATTATTATTATATTTTATATATATTATGTACTTGGTAAAAACTTCATTGATATTGATTTRCTAAACTCAAATCGAGTAATATAACATTACTGGTGTATTTGGTCATTTGCTTCCTTTGGTTTAGTTCATTATCGAAGGTACGATGTTACAAAGTTATTGACTGTGAGTGCTTTGGTATTGTTAAGAGTGCATGTATCGTTATTTTATCGTCGGAGAAAAAAATAATTATATAATTAATAAAAATACATGTTGCTATTTTCAAAATCATATATACATGCAGTCAATTAATGTCCACTAATCACAAATAAAAATGTTTAATGCATATAAATCRTTTTTCCCTGGGACTCGAATTACCTACTACCTTATTTTTTCCAGGACTCAACTTACCTACTACCTATTTTTCCCCTGGACTCAATTTACCGAGTTAGGGTCATTTGGGACTCAATTTACCAATCCCGGAAATTGATATGGCGACTGTATCAACAATGAAAAATAGGTAAGGTTATAATGCTACCAAAGAAGGCGAGCCGTAAGCATATCATAGTAATTTATGGTATTTCATATTAAAGGACATGATAGGCAGCAGATACCTATATGGCTATCCTATACTATTGATGCGGAAAAACAAGAATAGAAAATATACATAATATTACATTTGTTGACGAATTAAATRAAAGTTAAGTGGGAAGATGAGATACCATATATTATTGTATATAGCAGGGGTTTACAGTTCTTCAAGTGCGTTGAGGCTCCCAGGGGCATGTCAGATTATTATTGTCAAAAGGGTTGCGCTCTCAGAGAAAATAGAAATTGATTAATTTTATTTTTATCACAGTTTGTAAGGAAGCCATTTAATTTTTTTTTTTAAATCAGAAGATCCGTGGAACCACAGAACAATAGTGGAACCAAAAACGTGTGTGCAGACGAAAACCAGTAAATATAATGATAAAAATATTATAATAATTATATACTTGACAAGTACAATAAAACATTTGTTTTGTTTATGTTAACCGCTTATATTTGACAAAAAAAAAAATAAGTAAAATGATAATGACAAACATAATATATCATAATATTATATACGTGAAAAAGCGAATGATGCCTAATTAAACACAAATGAAACTAAAACTAATTTAATTTGAACAAAAGCGATAAATTAATATTGATTAATATAATTGATATAAAGATAATAATAATAATAAGATTACATTCGACAGAAATGTTAAGAAAAAATAATTTATAGAATATTATTCAAACAAATTATAAAATAATAATATGTATATAGTATATATATATATACATATACATATATATATAAATATGTATGTGAGGTAGTAAAGATAATCATGAAAGTAAATAATAAACATATTACTGGAATATTTTAAACCGTTACAAAGAAATTGAAAAAAATTAAATAATTAAAAATCATATCTAATAATAATAATAATAATAATAATAGTAATAATAATATTGCATTATCTAATAATAATATATATAAATATTGGTTAACTACACAATTAAGAAAAAAAACACGTTTACATTAATATCAATGTAACAATAAAACATTAATTGTGACTTTGATCATATGCGGAGACAAGGGATGGGGAAGGGGTGATAAATAACACTGTCATGTTTTTTTTTTTTATAAAAGTTT